ATTGTCTTATAGTCAGTGTATAGAGGTGAGCACTCTTAGGTTGAACTCGTGAGTGCGTGGACGCGCTAGCGCAGCGCCAGTTTTTTGCTGGCGCGGGCGCACGTCGAAGCGTAGCGATAGCTGGTTTTTGCCGTCGGATACTACTATTGAGCGCGAAATTCAGTAGTAGCAAAACGACGATCTCGCCTGTCTGTAGTACGGCAAGAACGGCACGCTCGTGTCAGCATGCGTCGCTACGCTTCGATGCGTGCCCCCGCTTGCTAACTGTCACTGCGTGGAGCGTGGCTAAGCGCTCACGTCTTCACCCTAACAGTGCCCCCTGCTGTACGTTCTAGAATATGCGTAGTGGCACTGCAATATTAAACACCTTGTTAACTTTTAAACATCGTAACTATTCCCTCTGAATCAGCGTTACACAGCACTGATCCTTGTGTTAATGACTGTTAATTTTTAAAGCTTTCATTAAGGGTGCCTCTTCGTATCTGATCTTTGATCCAATGAAGAATTTTGTCACGGCATATCAGTATCAATTATATGTGGGGTTTAACATCCCAAAACCACCATCTGATTATGAGAGACCCCGTCGTGGAGGACTCCGGAAATTTCGACCACCTGGAGTTCTTTAACGTGTGCCCAAATTTGAGCACACAGGCACACAGCGTTTCCGCCTCCATCAGAAATGCAGCCGCTGCAGCCGGGATATGATCCCGCGACCTGCGGGTCAGCAGCGGAGTACCTTAGCCACTAGACCACCGTGGTGGGGCCACACATCAGTATTAGCAAAAAATATAACAACCTGACAGTTTCTCAAAGTAGCGATATACATATAGTGTTGTGAAGCTGTTTATTCATTTATGGTCCCTGCGCTGTCCTCCTGTGCGCCTGATGCCGCTTGGCACGCATTGGAAAACTGTAAATGGGGTTAAAGATTTGCATATGGCACTGTGGAACTGCAATAGGTATGGCGTTGCTGAGAGCGATTTGGAAAATGAAATTTAAATTAAAGCGCTGAAAAATTAAATTTGCTTCTGAAAAAAGCTGTTTTTATTGTGCAAATCTTAATGCGTCAGCTATATATAACATGACCCAAGTATTAAGGCATCACATACTAAAACTCGGGAACTATACTGATAGCGCCAAAACCACCTGTATTGTAGTTATTACAAAACAAATGGCGTTTGGGCTCATGCCGACATCTCGGTCGTGCAGTTATTACGAGTTGGCCATGGACGTCGTGTTAGTTCTCAGAAATCGTAGTTTTAAATGCGAAAAAGTTCCTAAAGAACATCTATCTATCTATCTATCTATCTATCTATCTATCTATCTATCTTTATATCTATCTATCCGCAGAAATCTTTGTGCTCTCCACACCGTATTGTTAGGGTTTATACTGAAATAGGTATGTCGCAACGTGATTTTGACGAACAACAAATGCTGGTTCAACAAAAACAATCATGTCTAAATTGTCATCAACACACCGTTCACAGTTTACATGCCATGGCCGTGGTACTCGTGCGGCCGTTTCCTCAACCTAATATAACCTAAAATTGCTGTGAATGAGGCATTTCTGCTTAATATTCAGAGTACGTATGGCTTAGCGCCTTAGTGGAGCACTCAGGAAATTTCAACAACCTGGGGTTTCTGAACGACTAACCGTATTTGAGCAGAAGAGCATACATTTTCGCCTCCATCGAGAATGCAGCCGCTGCAGCCATGTCTTGATACCGCGGCCTGCGGGTCAGCGGCTGAGTGCCATAGCGGCTAGACCACCGTGGAGGGTCAAGTCATTTCTGCTTGACCGACATACATGGTAAGTGGAAATATGAAAACCATGCCGCACGTGTCATCTGCAACATAACTTGCATGCCACGCTCATGGCAAGCTCGCAGCCACTTCGCTTGCTTTATTTACACCAATTATGGTATTGGGCAACGGGCCTGTAAGGCACTGCAACATGTTTGATGGATGGGGTTTAACATCCCAAAACCACCATATGATTATGAGGGGCGCCTTAGTTGAGGGCTCTGGAAATTTCGACCACCTAGCGTTCTTCGACGTTCAACAAATTTGAGCACACAGACCTACAACATTTTCGCCTCCATTGAAAGTGCAACCGCCGCAGCAGAAATTCACTCCTGCGACCTGCGGGCCAGGAGTCGAGTACCTTGGACACTGCACAATCACGGTGGGGTTCAAGTGCAACAAGGCTTGCATGTCGGGTTCAGTGGCACTCTCACGGTCGTATTGCTAGCTTGATGTACAGTGTTAATTTTTATGAAAGGTAACATGGCGATGTGTGGCCTGTGCGTTCCGGCAGCTGCTGGCAGCGCGTTTGGACGGGAGCGAGAGCAACCACAGTCTTTTTTCGCATCATCTCGCGGTGGGCCAAAAAAAAACCAATCGATACTGATACACAACGATGAAATTGCAACCCCTCCCCTTTCAAGGCGATTACGGGCTCTCGCTAACCGCCTTGAAGGGGGAGGGGGTCGCAATATTACCGCTGGTTCCGTATCAGCAACGAATGGTTGTTTTCCTCGCCGCGAGGTGATGAGAAGAGAGACTGTGGTTGCTCTCCCTCCCGCTCAAACGCGCTGCCAGCTGCCGCCGAAGCGCGCATGCCCCGCGTTCCCATGTTCCCTGTCATAAAAAGTGAAACTGTGCACCAACACTGGTATCGTGTTACGTGACCTTGTGATGAACATAATAGACAAGCGGTACGATGGAAATCATGATTAGTTTCGTGCAACAATACTGGCATGCCATGCTCATAGCACGCTCACAGCCAGTTCGGTGGATCCAAATGCACAAACTTTTAGATTGTGTGACGTGTCTGTAAGGCAAACATAAATGGCAGATCGTATAACGAAAATCATAAAATTCTTGTTATGCATGGTCATGATACGCTCGCTTCTAGTCGTTTTGATAGCTTCACGTACACACAAATTCGCATTGCGCGACATGTCTGCATTACAAACACAAATGACAGGAAGTTACATGAAAATGACGACATGCGTCTCGTGTACAACGTGATTTACATGCCAGGCTCATCGGACACTTGCGTCCATTTCACTAGCTTTATATACACCAAAATTGGTATTGCTCACCATGACTGTTTGGCGAAAATAAATGACGCGTCTTAACGAGTAAATCATAATATGCACGAACGCATAGCACAATTTTATCCTTGCTGCCTACTTTGCATTACAGCTATTTTCACAATGCCTGAAATCTGCTTTTCTTTTTTAAGGCAGATCTTTCAAGTATTCTCTCCCCTTCTGAATCTCTCACAAGTTGTAAACGAGCGCAAGGAGACAGCGAAAGATGGAAGGAAATGCGGAGCGTAGAAATGACAAGGAAATCGTAAGGATAAATGCCAACTGGCACACAAGGTTAGCCATGGTATCTGCGACCAGCACCCGTCGAGGTCAAAGCTCATCCGCTTGACTGCCAATGGACTCATACTGTGTTTAAATTTCCCGTTAGGTGAAGCTGCGATAGTCGGAAATATGGGTGGCGCGAAGAAATCTACACCTGTGTAGATATGATTATAATACCGCGATTGAAGAGAAAGTTGCGCGCGTTGCCGTATAGGCTGTTATTGATTATAGGCATGTATGTATTTCCAGTACCGCCGACTGCCTTGCAATGTTTCGGATCGTCGGTATCACTCAACATTTTTTCGTTTTCTAGGACGACAACCTAAACACTTCAGGGCAGGCTCGTAGGCCACGAATGTTTTTTAAGGGCCAACCTTTTAAAGGGATTGAAAAACCCGTGTTTCTAATTTTTTTTCTCGATAAAACACCTTCCTCTATAGCCAATTTGTGGCAGACAAACAAGAGCGAAACAAAAAGTGTAAACAACCAAACAACCAAACAACGCAATCCAACCGGTTTTTTTAATATATGTGCTAATATAGCCAACATTATCTGCATTATCTCGTCAAAAAAATATTACGCGCTAACAACAATCACGTGTTATTATAATGCATCAGCGCATTCACAGCAACACACTACGTCAAATGCACATCTAGCTAAAAACTAGGAAACGTACAAAAATCGTCAGTAAATATATGATCCAAATAGGCCAGCTACCAGTTTTGCTTCACCCTCCTCTGTCTAAACTTCCGGTTGGGGGAAGGGCTAGGGCACTTCTCATGCTACGGGCCTGCTTCAGAGTAGAAGCTTTCGGTAGGGGAAAAAATAGGCAATAGCTGTAAGAACAACGTGGAGCACTGGCGAAATTAAGCGCGAGCTGCGAACTTTGCTGAAGCTAAAATGAAAAGTATCTCTATTTCAGAACAGTGGTGGTAGTATATTTGTAGAATATACTCACCTATCGTACGGGAAAACCTACCAGCAATAAAAGAAACAAGCCCTGGGTATTCTTTCAATGCAAAGGTAACAAGTAATTCCTATTTTGTCGATGTTATCTGAACTGGGAAGTTTGTGGAGCACAAATTAAAGTGAGGCAACCAGGGTTGTACTACTTAACAAGGTGGCCCATGCACAAAATTATTCGATGCAATTTTAAGAGTAACAAAACAGCCTCTATAACCTCGTATTAGTTAAGTCGGGCTCACTTCTGTATACACAGTACCGCCCACTGTAAAATGGAAAGACCCTGAGGAGCACCTCTTCTATTGTGAACCCCATAACTGCAAGTTTATACATGGCACTAGTCTATAGAAAAGAGTCAGACCAGTCAACCAACGGTACTCTCATGCAAATATAAGTCAGTATGCTTTTTCAGAGAGAGTTTAATTTTGAACCCATCTGTACAAAGTGTTACAGAAGTTGCAAGTGACTTGCCGATACACTTACAGCCAAGTTAACAGCAGAATAAAAAATACAAATTATTCCAACTTTCCCGCATTGGCACGCTTGAATGCCGCCCCACAGGTGGGTCAATCAGTGATCACCGTTGTTACCAGAGTCTCGCTAGAAATTTCGCGCGAATTAATCTCGACACATCGGACGAAGTAGGAGTGCGCTTACGATCTCGCCGTCGGCAATGTCGTAGAAGCGCTCGACGAGGTAGATGGCCGTGGTGCGCCCCGAGCCGACGGTGCCGACGATGGCAACCCGCTGACCGGGCTCCACGGAGAAGGTCACGCGGTCCAGGGCCTTGGAGTCTTGCTCACCCGCGTACGTGAAGCTAACCTCGTTCAAGGTCAGGAAGCCGCGCACCGTGTCCTGCAAGCACCCTTTATTATTGCGATAGCCATTATATCATTAGAGCTGTATCTTGCCGCCGGAGTCGGCGTCAATATATATATATATATATATATATTGTTGCGTGAAGGCACAAGGGAAACTAGGCGTTTTAAAATATATTTACACAGCGCCAACGCGCAAGCCAAGATGGCGAACAAGAGAGAGCGCGCGCACACACAAGTCACCTCGTCTTCCTCAGCGCCTATCTCACTGTTTAAGTGGGGCATTGTCTCGTAACATAACCCCCGGGTGCTGAAGCACCGTCTCGGTGCTTTCTATTGTGTTGCCGAGTGGTAAAGCTTAAGGCGGGATACGTGGACAATGTCTGTAGACAGCGAAGCGGAGGCGGAGGAAGACTCGAGCGGGGCTATCTCGTATGTCACATCTGTCACCTGGCGCAATACGCGGTAGGGTCCCGAGTACCGGGAAAGCAGTTTTTCAGAAAGTCCGACGCGTCTAGTCGGAGTCCACAATAGCACAAGAGAACCTGGTGTAAAGGAAATTTGGCGGTGATGTGAGTCGTAACGATGCCGCTGGTGATCTTGCGATGCTAAAAGGCGCTGACGAGCAACTTCTCGTGCTTTGCGAGCCCTGGTGATAGCATCACGGGTGTATTCAGTCGTAAAGTCGACGGCTGTCGGAAAGATGGTGTCGAAAGGTAAAGTTGGATGACGGCCAAACACCAGGTAGAAAGGTGAAAAACCAGCTGCATCATGGCGTGAAGAATTATAGGCAAACGTAACGAAGGGCAATGCAACGTCCCAGTCCTGGTGGTCGGACGATACGTACATAGCGAGCATATCAGTTAAAGTCCGGTTGAATCGTTCAGTGAGTCCGTTAGTTTGCGGGTGGTAAGCTGTCGTAAATTTATGTTTCGTCTCGCAGGAGCGAAGCAGGTCGTCGATAACTCGGGAAAGGAAATAGCGCCCACGATCTGTTAGGAGTTGGCGTGGGGCGCCATGGTGAAGTATGACGTCGTGCAGGAGAAAATCGGCAACGTCTGTGGCGCAGCTGGTTGGCAAAGCCCGCGTGATAGCGTACCGGGTTGTATGATCCGTCGCGACAGCTATCCACTTGTTCCCCAAAGTGGATGCAGGGAAAGGGCCTAGGAGGTCAAGACCAAGTCGGAAGAAGGGGTCAAAGGGAACGTCAAGTGGTTGGAGGAACCCGGCAGGACTCATAGAAGGTTTTTTGCGGCGTTGACACTGATCGCATGAGGCGACGTAGCTGCGGACCGAGCGATAAAGACTGGGCCAGTAAAATCGACGCTGTACGCGGTCATACGTCCGAGACAGTCCGAGGTGACCGGCAGTGGGAGCGTCATGAAGCTGGCCGATCACGCTCGCACGTAGGTGGGAAGGTACCACAAGGAGCAGTTCGTGTCCATCAGGGCGGACGTTGCAACGGTACAATGTGTCATTCTTAAGCACGAACAATCGAGTAGAAGGATCGGGTGCCGCAGAATGAAGCTTCTCGATGATGTTACGCAAGGCAGGATCTCGGCGCTGTTCCTCACGGATGTTGCTTAAAGCGGAGAGAGACAGCACACATGGCGATTCATCGAACGCTTCAGGTGGGTCCACTGGATTCCGAGATAAGCAGTCAGCGTCATGGTGTAAACGGCCAGATTTGTAGGACACCGAGTAGTTATACTCTTGAAGCCGTAGTGCCCATCGACCAAGGCGCCCAGTGGGGTCCTTCAAGGACGAGAGCCAGCAAAGTGCGTGGTGATCGGTTATGACAGTGAAATGTCGACCATGTAAATAAGGCCGAAATTTTGCTACTGCCCAAACGAGAGCAAGGCATTCCCTTTCGGTGATGGAGTAGTTCCTTTCCGCCTGCGAGAGGAGACGGCTGGCATAGGCGATAACGCGGGCGCAGCCGCTTTGATGCTGAACCAAAACAGCACCGATTCCGTAACCGCTGGCATCTGTGTGTACTTCGGTAGGGGCAGAAACGTCGAAATGGGCCAGAACAGGTGGTTTTGTTAGCGATTCAATAAGTGTAGAGAACGCCGTAGCCTGCGCAGCGCCCCATGTGAATGAGACATCTTTTCTCAATAAGTCTGTGAGAGGACGGGCGACTTCCGCAAAGTTGTTCACAAACGTCGAAAGTACGAGCACAGACCGAGAAAGCTGCGTACTTCTTTAGTGCAGGTCGGAACAGGGAAGTTACGCACGGCTCGCACTTTATCGGGATCAGGACGTACACCAGAGGAGTCGACAAGGTGGCCCAACATTGTTAGTTGCTGGCGTCCGAAGTGACACTTTGACGAGTTCAGTTGGAGACCGGCATTGCGAAATACGGCCAGTATTGAGGAAACGCGGTCGAGGTGGGTTTCAAAGGTCGGGGAAAAGACGATAACGTCGTCAAGGTAGCATAGACAAATTGACCATTTGAACCCACGCAAAAGAGAGTCCATCATCCGCTCGAAGGTGGCTGGAGCGTTGCATAATCCGAAGGGCATGACCTTAAATTGGTAAAGACCATCGGGGGTGACAAAAGCGGTCTTCTCGCGGTCCATGTCATCGACAGCAATTTGCCAGTAACCTGCTCTTAGATCAATAGAAGAAAAATACTTAGCGCCGTGAAGACAATCTAGGGCGTCGTCTATGCGCGGTAGCGGGTAGACGTCTTTTTTAGTGATCTTGTTCAGATGTCGGTAGTCAACACAGAATCGCCAAGTGTTGTCCTTCTTTTTGACAAGAACAACAGGGGAAGCCCATGGACTACATGATGGTTCAATTATGTCTTTGGCGAGCATGTTGTCGACTTCTGCTTGAATTATGTGACGCTCGGTCGAAGATACGCGGTATGGCCGTCGATGGACAGGGGAGGCATCGCCGGTGTCAATGCGGTGCTTTACCGCACTGGTTTGACCTAGTGGACGATCACAAAGTCAAATACGTCCCAGTATGACTCAAGAACGCGAAGGAGTTCGTCAGCTTGATGCGGCAAAAGGTCTGACGCGATCATTTTTTTAACATCAGGAGACGGGCTTCCTTGCGAAGATCGAGCATGTGTGAAGCTGGAGTGTCGAGCCTCGTTCGAAGACAGAGCTGATATGACGCATTCTTCAGAAGGAGTCAGCATGGCGAGGGCGATTCCGCGCGGAAGCACTTGCGGACACAGAGCAAAGTTGAGCACAGGAATGCAGGCGTGGTTTGCACGTAACTGAATAACAGTGTGTGGTAAGGTAACACTGTGGGTCAAGAGAAGGGATGTGATGGGCGCGAGCACATAGTCACCATCGGATACAGGTGGCGAGGGCGTAACGGTGATGCAGGTCACGGTTTGCGGTAACAAACGGACATGTTCAGCAGAGCACATACGGGCTTGCGGTCGACTGGGCGGATCAATCGGACACGGTAGGTCAAGTTGCACAGTACCGGCTGAACAGTCGATGAGAGCGGAATGAGTGGACAAAAAGTCAAGACCGAGGATCACATCATTGGTGCAGTGAGAAAGAACAGTGAAGAGAACTGAAGTTTGACGGCCGGCAATAGTAACGCGTGCAGTACAGACGCCAATAACAGCAGCCGTACTACCATCAGCAACGCGAACGCTGCGTGAAGGGGCTGGAGTAAGTACTTTCTTTAAGCGGTCTCGAATGTGCAGGCTCATCACAGAAATATGGGCGCCAGTGTCTACTAAGGCTTTAACAGATAAACCGTCCACTTCAACGTCGATCAAGTTCTGATTGGTCGGGAGCGTCAACAGAGGAATTGGAGAGCAAGTCGTATCAGCAGCGTCACCTCCAGGAGCTGCAGCCGTTAGTTTTCCGAAGAAAACCGCCGGGCAGAGGACGGGGACGGGGAACGAGGTGGTGGTGGAGATCGGGAAAATCTACGTCGAGGTGAAGGTGAGCGACTGTACTGGGCAGTGGTCGTAGTGGTCGGGTCGTAATTAGCTGAGCCCTCACGCCGTGGTGGTTCCTGGTCATAGAGGTGGGCCGGTGAATGGGGGTTGGAGAAGTTTGGGTTTGCCCGATACGGTGAGGTCCACGTGCTTCGGCAATGACGGGAAATGTGTCCCACTCGTTCACATCGGAAGCAAATCGGCCTGTCATCAGGCGTTCTCCACGCATTTGGGTCACGATTACGTGGAGCAGGGCGGCGATACTGCTGTGGGTGGCTCGGGGTAGACGAACTGACAGCGCCGGGACGGTGCACAGAACAGACTGTGTGAACACCCGCGTTGGCTAGTTCCTGGCGAACAACGGTCTGTATTAGCGATATGGTCGGCTGAGGATCACTCGGTGCCAGTGCTCTCAAGGGGGCGGGTGAGATGGCTTCGATTTCACGGCGTACAATTCTCGTGATGTCACTGGAGTGTGAATTGGGCAGGGTCGGTACATGGAGATCCGCACATGTTGACGTCGCAGCAGTGTTGGGAAGGCGCGTAAAGTGGTAAGCAATGCGACGGCTTTTAGCCTCTTGAAACTGTTGGCACTCCAAGATAACATCTTGCACGGTGGAACAGCCTTTGCACACAATGAGGTTAAATGCATCGTCTGCGATGCCCTTGAGCACGTGCGCTACCTTGTCGGCTTCAGCCATGGTTCGGTCAACTTTACGGCAAAGGGTCAGCACATCTTGAATATACGCCAGGTAGGACTCCGTGGACGTCTGAACACGTGTGCCAAGTTCTTTCCTAGCGGCCTGCTTGCAGCCGGCAGATTGACCAAACAACTCGCGTAATTTGGTCTTGCATACGTCCCAGCTTGTGATACCGTCCACATTGTTATTAAACCACGCCTTGGCCGTTCCTTGTAAATAAAAGATGATGTTTGCCAGCATTAAGGTTGGGTCCCACCTGTGATTTGTGCTGAAGAGTTCGTAGAGTTTAAGCCACTCATCCACGTCCTCGCCGTCCGTTCCCGAAAAGTTGCCGGGATCGCGGGGTGGAGCGGCCACGAGATAAACAGGAGAGGTCGGCGCCATTGATGCAGTGGGCGTAGCAGTTGAGGAAGCGTCGCT